CATTAGACTTTTTTATGGGGCTATGTGAAAAATATTGTTTACAAAACTAAATCACGTGATTTAGATGACTTAAGAGAACGAATAATGCTTGCGATTAGATCGGTCACGCCTGATATGTTAATTAACGTTAGAAGACATTTTTATTCAAGATTAGGATGTTGCCAAGACGTTTGCGGTGAGCATTTTGAACATATACTTCATTGACATTCATATTTTTTACGTTATGAACAATTAAATATTACATATTGAGTGTATTGTAACAAATTTCGGTTATCAGTTATTTTATTTTTTTTATGTTAATTTTTGCAATAAATTTAAAAACAATAACATTTTTGGATAGAGAATGAAGAGACCTTTCAAACGATATATCTCAAGCCTATACTTCCCATTTAAAAAATTAGGGGTTGTAACTGTTACTCAAAAAGGGTTGAAGGTAGGGGATCACATTTTCACTTTAAAGAATATCAATTTATAATTTAAATTTGACATGTTCCGGGATTTTCTATAAATATGTACAGTAATCGAAATAATGAATTTATTCCATTTGGCTTTTCCATACTGTATAAGGAATAAGGATGTTCCCGGATAGACTGATTTTTGTTATTGCCTTTCCACAAAAAAAAAAAATTATCATGATAGTTTTTGCTTGGTACTTTTCATGTTGAAACAAAAGAAAGTGAAAACTTTCTTTTTTGTGTTATTTCATTTTTGTATCATTATTATTTTACTAATGCAAAGATATATTCAACTTCTCTTAGAATTATTATTATTTTTGAAACAAGCAAACGCTTTTATGAAGAATAATATTTTCTCTAAAAGTTAAAAATAAAAAAGTTCTTCTTTTTCAGTATATTCTAGTAACAGTGTTTTTTCCTTATTACGTACTTATCCTTATTAATTTATAAAACTAGAAAAATACATTCTTTTTAAATTACCCACTGTAATTTTCTTGATCTTTCTTCCTCTTGTTTGGTTTCCACAATTCGCGAAACAAAATTACCTCATTTATTTATTTAAAATTTTTTGTATCATGAAAAATGTTTAAGATCTCGAATTTTATATTAACTTTCATTACATTAGTAGCTAACAATTTTATACGACCGCATTTTGTAGGATTCCTTTACATTTCATTCTCGAGGTATTAGCTGTGCAATTTCAAATAATTAAAAGCCTCTCCCATCCAGTTAGGAGACATTAGTTAACTGAGAAGCTCATTAGTTACCTAACATCATTTAAGGGCTGCTGGTCTCTAATACCCTCTAACGCATTTGTCACGGAAAAATTAGTGGCTGGTTTCTTTATGGGTTTATCTCTAGGGAATTAAGTAAGATTCATCTTTTTTAATTATTTTATTTCAACGACTTAATTTACAGTCTCTTTGACAGCAAATAATAGAAATTATTTCCTTAGCATCTGTAAAAAATATACGTGTTATGTATCGGTTTGAGAAATGTCACTTTGCTCGGTTCTCTTGACGTTATCGACAATAACAACGATACAGAAAACGAGGTTATTTTTTTAACAGAGCGATAAATAACTATTTAGGTTCATACCGGATGCTGTTTATAAATCGCTCACCGACGAAAATCAAAAAAAAAAATCACAAATGTTAAACTTCGTTAGACAATTCAAAATTTGATGAAATTTCATTCAACACTACTGGCATACTCTTCGAGATGGCGCTTGTGCCATTACGGGCGACCGCGAGCTGAACTCCTTAAGTTGCCTAAACACCCGTATATTTTCAGTGTGCCATTAACTGTGCTTAGTGATGCTACGTTCCCAGCTAGCACATAACGTTGCCAAGCCTTTCGGCGATGTTGCATTAAGGAAACGTAATAACATTACTGTACAACGTAAATGCAACGTTCATGAGAAGTTGTTGAGGGAAATCAAAACCTCGCAAAACTTCTATTTGTTATTTACCTAGTTAACCTACCGTAAACATTACAAATCTGAATTCAGAACGTATAGTTTTATGTCAATTGTCACTTGTCAGTTTTTCTTGTCAATTGTCTTTTTTAATGGTTTATTTTTCGACATCCAGAATTTATTTTATAAATAATTATTATTTATACATTCGAATAGATTTGGTAAGGGTCCTCTATAAAATAGATAACTATTTTCTAAACCATTGTCTTTGTTTCAGATTACAATGCCTGATGTAAATTTATTATTTCATTCATTAAGTATCTTTAGCAGTCGATGCCGATGACACCAAATAAAAAAAAACTACAATAAAAACAAAGAATTGCAGATCAATCGTTGTAAACCAGAAGATAAACATTTAACCGAATGTCCGGCAACATTTTACACCAAATACTTATAAAAGGTAATTATACTTTATCGAACTAAAAATACATTTTAAAAATATTATTTTTTAGGTTTCCTTCGACATTCTAGGAATTTTAGAAGCAAAAGTAAATACTACAGAAGTGTAAAGAAGAATATAACACCTGAAGTTTTATAAAAAGTGAATCTATAGGTACATGATATGTCAGGTATATCAGAATTCAAGCAGTTCATTTTCTTCAACAGGCTAGATTGCCTGGAAATGCAACCATCAGTTCAAGTGAAAACCCAGCAGAAAAGTTGAGAGAAATCATAGATGATACTCTCGAGTATAATAGAATATCTTGCTAAAAAACACCAGTTGTTTTTTATAAAATCTACATATCGATGGCTCAATCAAATACTGCCACAACTAAAATACTATTATTTCGAGAAATTTCATTTTGAAATTTTGTAAGTCTATTATCATTATTTTGTTTTTGACATACTCTTTATATTTTATTTAAAAGCTTCGATATTTTGCTGTTAAATAAAATGATTACGATTATAAAAGTGAGTTGTTGCATGGGTGTTTTTGAAGAAAATAACTCGAATTGAGGCAGTTTTAGACACAGTTTGTGGCTATATTTTAAATGATTTATCTTTAAGGATATTTTTGTTTGTGGTGGTATTTCAAGTAAAACCGTAATGATATTTTGCATCCATTGAACCAAAAATGTAATTGCTTTGTTTTTTGACTTGTGGCGGTTTCTGATTGAGCCATCGATATATCTACTTTGGAAATCAAGCATAAAATTTGTAAAATTCAAACAAATTTCAATACACTAACATTGGTTGTTTTATTTAAAACAACAAAGTAAGGCATATTTTTTAATTTCTATATAATTTCCTTTAATTAATAATAGGTAAACAAGTTATCAATTTCTTTTTTATTCAATGTATTGAGAAGTAAAATATTTTTATATAAAAATATAATTTATGCTCTTCTAATAAATTGTCATATTTAGGTTACATTATAGCACTTTATAAATATCTATGCAAAAAAAGTTAAAAGGCTTGATTTAAAAAAGATATATCTCTGCGTCTTAGGTAAGAAATCAGCGAACTTAGCTATCCTCTAGTAATCTAATATAATAATATGTACCTAGTCATTGTTGTATTCGTTTATTATTTTTCACCAATCTAGCTTTATCATCGTTCACCATTTAAGGTTTTAGTGAACCTTTGCAATATTGGTACCTTATTATACTATTTAGCTAATTTTGTCCAATCGTTCAGTGCTTTCTAGGTAGCTTCTTCTATCCCACATGTGTATTTGTGTTCTTTTATTCAATAATTGTTCCATCAGTGATTGATGTAATTTATCTATTCTGCAGTCGTTTTATATTTGAACTCTTATATTTTAGGTTAACTTAAATGATTGATTATCCTCACCATTCGTCTATCACATATCCATCGGCTTTTAAAGCCGATGGATGCCTTGGCTCATTGGTGAACTCACCGCTGGAAAAAAGAATGATTGTCACATACAATCGTCTTTCCATCACTTAATTTACGAACGGTTTGCTGCAAGCGCTGGATACAGCACTGAATAAAAGAACACGCCTACACCTACCTCTACTTTTGTGCTATTGGTACTTGATTTCAAGAACATTTAAATAATAAATATATATAAATATTTTGTTTTATTTGAAATTGTCATGTCTCGATTGAGATTTTACTATAGCCTCAATTTCAGCCTCTCTGTATTACATTACACAATGTGTGTCCACGGATGGACTTAATTATACTTGTAAAAATATTTATTTTAAATTAAAGAAAAAGTTATTTTTCATAATTTCTCAATGTGAATCGAATTTATTTAACAAGCAAGAAATTATGAAGAATTACTTTTTTAATTTAAAATAAATATTTTCACAAGTATAGTTAAGCCCATCCGTGGACACACTGTATAATGCTGTAGATCTAATTCACATTATAACATCAATAGAACGTTTCAGAGCAACTTTCGGGGTAAGTACCGTAAAAGTGCTAGTGTGATGTTTTTCGAACTTCACTTTGTAACTTCTGTGAGATGTGCTATAAAAGTCTTGCCGTTGCGGACATTCGGTAGTTGCAGGGAGATAAGGGTTACATTTACAGTACATTGCATGCGAGCTTAAAGAGCCTAAAATTGCAGCTTATTAACGTAGATGGGATGTTTTTGTGCTAGCTGGGTTATGTTTGAGCAATAGTGACACATCTAAAAAGTAGCAACGATTTGTTTCAGCATTAGTGGCACATTTGATATATTTCGGTTACTGTAGTTATATGTGCCAGTATAGTTGGTATGTTGTGTTGATATATTTGATTTATGCCGATATTGACTAAACTTCCAATTGATTTTTATTAGTTGTACCGGTATAGACTATTATTGTACATAATTTTTGGGTTCATATAATATTGTGATGTTTGTTTATTTTCAAAACAACCATTTATTAATTAGTAATTTATTTAAACATATTTATATTTAACAATACTATTCTAATTTATATATATTTCGAATGTCTCTAAACTGTTCACGATTTATATTCACTGTCCATATAATAACTGATACAGCGTTATTCTCCACCAATATTCATATACCAATTTAAAATTAAAACAACAAACTATTTTTAGTACTAATGACAATATGGACAATAATCCGAAGTGATATTTTAGATAACACCATGCTAAATGACACGCATAAAAAACCTTTATCGAGACGTGAGTTTTGCGATGACGAAGAACTCTTTTCATCAGATGACTCAGTCAAAGGTCCGAATTATGCTAATGACTCATCTTCAGACGAATCTTTATCATCATCATATTCAAACTCATCTGATGACGATAATGAAGGTAAAATGGCTAATACCGTGAATCTGCCAGTCGAGGCTGATACTGCAAATGAAAGGAACGAGGAAAAAAAACAGTCCCATCTTAATAGAAAAAGTTCACTACCAAGCATCTAAGAAACACTGGCAAAGCATACAAAACTTTGGGAAAGGAATAAATAATTCCAGAACGACAAATGAAACAAGTGCAAACAAAAATGCAGTACCAAATTCACAGAAGAAGAAAGGTTAGCCCAATTTAAAAAATACTGAGATATGGGTAAAATTGTAAAATAACGTACATATATTTTATCGCTTATTCAAAAAGAACTACAAACCACATATTTTTTTTTTTTTTTCTTAAAAGATGGCAAGACATTAAGAGTTTGTATTTGTTCATTGCTACACTAGGCATCACTGAGCGTTGTATCTGAATAATAACGAAAAAAATTAAAAATTTAACTACAGCCGCAGATAAGAGGCGAAAACATTTTAATCATAAAGAAGTTTCCAAGAACATTAAAGACGGTGTTCGATCCCACACTTCGTTAATTCTTACTATTAAGAGCCAATATACACAAGCACATTCCGAAAAACTTTGTATAGACGGAAGAACGACAATTGCTCAGTTACATTGTGATTTTAAAGAAGAGTGCGAAAATCAGGAGAAACCTTTTGCTAATCTCACTATGTGCAGAACCTTTTTAACCACGAGTTCAATATAGTCTTTTTTATTTTTAAAAAGGATCAGTGCCAAGCCTGCGTATCCTATGAAAATTCAACAGAAGAAGAAAAGTAAAAAGTTAGAGGATGAACATAACACCCACATCGAGGAGAAAAGATTGAGAAGAGAAGAAAAGGAAAATGACAAAAATAGTACTTCTTCATACCAGGTAGCATGTTTTAATCTGCAAGTCTCTCTACCAACACCAAATGGACAAGTATCCTCTTTCTACCATAGATCAAAACTGTCTACCTACAATTTTAACATGTTGGATCTTACATCAACGGAGCAATAATTAAAATTTTTTTACATGTGGCACGTAGGTCAGGGTAAAAGAAGGGCAGTTAAAATAGGCACTTGCCTATTTCATTAAAGGAAAAGGCTGTGTGTAATACTGAAGATATCGAAATAGTATTTTATTCTGACAAATTCGTCATTGCAGCTTACCTTCATGCCGTGGCAAATTATAAAATTAGGGCAATTACTCATAAATACCTTAATACTGGACACACCCAATATCAAAGAGATAATGTCAATTTCTTAATTGAAAAAAGCATCAAAGGGCTCTTAAATATAACCCTATTTCAGTATTATGCAGCTATAATTCAAACATCCAAACAGCAAGCCTTTTAACGTAATAGAGATGTCTCACAAAGATTTTCTTGACTTAAAACATTAAACTGAACATGCTACCATAAATTTTCAGAACAACGCAATAGAAAACTTTTTAAATCGCCAATGCTTAAATAATTAGGGTAGACAAAAATCACTTAGACTCGTTTTTTTACAAAACGTCTTTCAAGCATACAAATTTTAAGCAATTCCAAGTGATTCATACAAGACGTTCATGTTTTTGTTAAGAGTTATTGCTTCGTTCATGAGAACTACTTTGTCGGCATATTACTCCTATTATACCCCTACCTTCAAAATTCCAAGAACGGGTCGCCGAGCCACATTTCCCCTATCATAGAAAATAGATTGGCGATTTATTTAGTCATACCGGTGAATTAAAGATTTGAACGTATTTAGTAAAATTTTGAGCATAAAAGAGAAAGTTATTTGTGAATTTTCCAATAAAACTAAGTAAATTAGTTAGTCAAAACATTCTTCGTTTAGGAAAATCTGTTACGAAGGCAGTTTCTTATAGAAAAGAAAATAGTCTTAGCACTATTAATAACGTTTTGCTTTTAAAGAAAGATATAGACAATGCAAGTTTTCACGTTTTTGGTGATCATAAAAACTGCGATATTTATTTTTGTAAGAAGCATACAGATGAAACCAAAAACGAAATAACCAATTTCAGATCTAAACCTGAATTTTTTACAAGACTTCTACAAATTATACATGCTTTGTCAGATCACAGCAGAAGTCTATTACATGAAGTTAATAGTAATATTGTGGAACAATTTTATGCGACAGTCGCTAAGTTTGTAGGTGGCAAAAGAATCAATTATTCCAGAGGGCGCTCTTACCAAAGTAGATGTTTTGCAACAGTTGTATCATATAATTCAAAATCAGGGAATTCAGAATTGAAAAAAACTTTAAACCGTACTAACCAATCCATGTAAGTAACTGAATTGAAAAAAAAAGGCGACAATTAGCAATAAAATCAAATTCTAATCGCAAATTAAAAAAAAGTTATTCTGCTAAAACCAATAAAACTGATTTAGATTATGGAGAAAATTGTACCAAAAAGGATTTAGATCAAGATATTTATGAAGTATAAAAACTTCAATTTTTAAATGAATTCCCTTCATCTGACGTTAAGAGAAATGTAATTTAGGAACAAACTATGTCACAGGCGGATAGCAGGGTTCGGCTTGAAATTCGTAGAAAAATAATTACGGCCTCACACTTTAAAGCAGTGTGTACTAGATGAATTACAACTTCATGTGAGCCTTTAGTCAAAAGGATTATTTACCAACTACCAGTCAATGCTGCTATTTCTCATGGCCAAGAGCAGGAAAATAGAGTGATTAGAGATTGTTGAATTTTTATTGACAAAAAATATCCATATTTAGGTACGTGACGACCAGTTCACATTTTTATTCACATCTCAACTATAACATATTGCAAATTAGTTCATTTTAAATCAAAATAATAATTTTTAAATTTGTTGATGCTACTCCAGACTGCATTGTAGATGAATTAGTGGTTGAAATAAAATGTCCATACGCTGCATATCAAATGCAGGTAGAAGAGGCGATTAAATTGAAAAAAATACCCTGTTGGATTTTTAATAAAGACACCAATAATTTTGACATTAATATCCACCATCAATGGGTATTATCAAATACAAGGCCAATTACATATTACAGAACGAAAAGGATGTATTTTTGGTGTATTATCCACTTAAAGTGAAATATATAATAAAAAGAGACGATTTCTGGTGTAAAAATATGGAGAAGTTAAAAAAGTTTTATATAAACTGTATGTTGCCAGAAATGGTAGATCCAAGGCATAATCGGGGAATGTCATCAAGAGAACCTGATTATACCTTAGAAGCTATTCAAAAATTAAAAAATAAAAAACAAAAATAATTACCTCCAAAAAGTTAAATACCATTAATAGTGAGATGTTTCCACAGAGCCGCTATTTCTTCTAAAAGTATTTTCTTTAATATTTTTAATTTTAATCTAGGTACTGTTAAAACGCTATAATACCTATATTTATTTGCAGGTCTTCTGTAACTAATTTATTTGTAGTACTGGGTCCAATTAAGTTACCAAAAAATAATAACCGATCATTTTAAATACATATCGAGCTGTTTAGTCAAACGCCCTGCTCTTCACAAAAACAAAATTAAATTATTTTATAATTTGTGATACATTTACATGATTTTTAAAATTGGAAAAAAAAATTGATGTACATGGTTCATAATCAGTGGCGGCTTGTGGTAATTTAAAATGGGTGTTCACTTTTTCTAATAATTTCATTATATGTAAGTTCGGATCAAAACTTTGTACAAAAGCCAATATCGCTGTTTTTTTATTATTATTTGAGTTCGTATTAAGAGTAGTTATTATTATCAACATCATACTGTTTTCAAGCACTAAAACTATTATTAAATGAATATTTTGGTTAGTGTGATTACTGTTCTGTTTTTAATACGTTGAAAACCATCTATAAACATTATTAGTTAGTAAACTGACTTTTCTTCATAATTTGAGATTATTTTTAAATATATATCAGGTTATGTAGAAAGCTTGACATTGATTTTTGTGTAAACAATTTTATATGAAACTTTACCTACCATTTTTTAGTTTTTATTGTAAGTTCAATCATTTTCACAATTTATCATAGATGTCAAATAAAAAATATATTTTTTAAATACCTTTTATTGGCAAATAAAATAAGAACTAAAATGTTTTAAATGTCTATTTTATGAGATCATTCCCATCACAATACATAATATTACACAGACACAAACTATAATAAAGATATATAATGCCTGGCATTTTAAATTATACTCTTCGCAGTTTAACAGACCCCCTTTACCCCCATTTTTAAGTAGATTGTTTTCACAATCAATAGGTCTCATCTCCTTATAGACCTTAATTTTTACTAAAACTTTCATGTTGATGTCGCTTTTCATTTTTGATTTTTTTCATCCCTCCTTAAATCCCCCATATTTAATCAGAGTTTTTTTTATAAGGAAAGGGCTTCTTCTCCTTTTAGAGATTGATGTTTCCTAAAAATTGTTTGTGAGCGGCGCGCCAATTAATGTGTTCTTTGACAGTTTGCAAGATCTGTTAGCGTGTTGTCTTCTCTTTTTAGCTATATGCATTCGACATATCGTCTTACTCGTATTAGGCTCACTCGTCATAATGCGTCACAGATACAGTATATTTAGGTATACTGTAAAACAGAGACGCGATCAGCCAGAGGACAATGCGATGTACAAAAAAATATAGATTAACACGTATGAAAATATAAATATTAAAATTAAATTTATATTTTTGTTATTTATATAATATTAAAATAATATGTTTTTATGAAATTTAACTGGGTGTTGACTGCAAAAATGAACCAATGGAGAAACCGCTCTTGTTCATAATATATTACGCCAATTTTGGCGTTTATTTGTCCTTCTATAATACTTACTAATTTTAAAAGCAAAAACTCTTTTTAAAATCGTTAACATTAAAAAGAGAAAATATGTATTTATATCTTAAAGTTAGCAACAACAAAATATGATAACATCATTCAACGGCAGCCATCATGAAATTCGGACCAATCAAAGCCAGATAGTAACAAAACACTTCGGCTCTATTCCCTCAGTTTTTAAAATATTATTTCTGCCTCACAGGTAGGTACATTTCACTCGTCTATTTACGTTTTAGAATTTAATATTCAGTTGTAGCAAATTAACGAGCTATAATAATGATTTTTTTAAGTTTCAAGTTTCGATCGCCTTTTAACGAATACTTTCTCGTATTTATAAAAATATTAAATTTTTATAATGAGGTGTCTACGCCTGTGACAGATCAAACAAAATTGTCGGTAATAGTTCGGAACGAGTTTAATGAAAGAACTATACATAATTATTAATTTAATTTACTTAATTTTAATAATAAAATTGGTACGCCCATGTGCGCGGTTTCTTTGAAGTCGGTACTAATCGGTTATTCTGCGGTGTTGAATTGTACCTAGAAAGACTATATAGAAGGATACACAACTTATTTTCGCACATGCGCGTAACAAAACGGTACACTAAAAACACTAAGCTGTCGCTTCTCCTTAATTGTTATTCTTAGCTACAACTGCAAACAAAACAAAGGCATGTACTTATGTTTTAAGGTCATGAAATATACTTACTTAATTTTGTAAATCTCGTACTTCATCATCCATACTTCCAATAGCAACTGAATATGTTGCTTTAAAATTAAAATAAAAGTTTGGTTTTATTATTTTTACTTAGCGTAGAATAGCTATTTGTATTACTAGGGAGGAAAGTGCCACTTTTCCTCCCGCAGGATGAAGTTTACTGCCCGACGCGAA